CATTATAATAAAATGCTATGTCAATTGCAATAAACATATCAATGATATCATCATCCTCTTTCCCCTATCTTTTCAATTGAACGTGGATTAAGGTTCACAGAAAACAACACATGTAATGAGAAATGAGTAGCATCTACTAGACAAGCTAAAACAGAAATCTATATATAATGAAGACTAAAGTTATATTCCATATATATTGAAGTAAACTTGTGCTTCTTCCATTGCTATAAACTCTTAAAAGTCATACATCTTGTGGTCAGTTCCTGAAAAAAGTTTACATGGGATCTATCTAGTCGTATCTTTTAGGTGAAACAATCAGTATATAAAAAATGTGTATTAGAAAAGTGTACACATGTTTTTGTCCAGCCCATGAGATTTATATAAGCGATTTGGATATTATGATGAAAAAAAGAAATCAGAACTGATTTATCTATTAAGACCACATTATATCCTCCCAAAACTTCAGTAAGCAATTCAGACATGAAATGTGCTGATGTCTTGTTGGTGCAGTGTGAATGTTGGTCATAAAGTCAGCCAAGACAATCTTCACGAGAACAATATATACCAGATAAACCAATTACATAAATCTTTAGGGCTTGTTGTTTAGCCTGATGGCCCATCATATAATTAAAGGGATCTCACTTAACATCAATAAGTACTTATTGGGCTTTAGTTGGGCTATTTTTCATTTACAATGGGCCGTAATATTCAGGCGGTGTGGATCTCTAGGCTTTACGATGCCCTAATATATCGTTGTATATAATACATCTCACTAACTTACTTCTCACTCATCTCTTCTTCTTCTTCTTCTTCTTCTTCTTCAATAAGTAGTTTTGTTCTCTTAGTTAGCTTCTTAAAGTATCTTTGAGTATATATTAACTTTTTATTATCTATATATGTGACGCAACTTATACTTTTATCGTTTGAGTCGGCCATGAGATATATATTTTACAGTTTTTATTTTATTTTATTTTTTTAGAATTGAATTAGGGTTTAAAGCTGATGAGGAGATCAGATTATAAAAGAACACCATCTTTCGGGACTGATTATTTATTTGATGATTCTTCTGCAATTCTGAGGCTTTTATTGTTATGGTTTAATTAGATTTTTGTTTTGGCTGTGATGATTGAGAATGTCATTGATGTTAGGAGTTTTCAAGGCTCCTAGTCAAATGTTGTATAGTGAAGTAAGTTGTCGAACCAGTTCTGAGTGATTTAAAAGCACCGAGAATGCAAGTACTAACTTAATCTAAGTGCAATCGAATGTTTGGTTGGTTTTGAAGTTAACTAAAACTAGAATGCAAATAACAAAAATGATACTTTTAAACTATTGGGAAGGAGAACTCATGGGTATTGGGATTTAGACCTTGGGTGATCAGGTTTCAAACTAAGATGGCAAGCTATCAATTAA